CTTTCACAAAGTGATCTTGCTAACTTCTCATTTTGCAACTTGGGAGCATCTATCCATGCTTTATTAGGCACTTTAGTCCATGTTGGTCTCATTTTCCTATTCCACACAGGAAAACCCTTTTGATCTCTGTCGCCATGCAGTGAGGTTGCTACACTTTATGGTGTTTGTACATACTGCTGGTTCAGGGGTGTAGCTCGCAGGGTAGAGCAGTTCATCTACTAATTGGAAGGTTGATGACTTGATCCCTGACTATTGCGGTCTGCATGCCAAATATCCTTCGTCAAATGAGTTTTATTTCTTCTCGAAAACCTTAAATCACATATACCACATAGGTCAAAAACAAAAAATAAACATGTAGGTCACATATGTTAAACGCTGAACTGTAATCAACAAACAGCATTCGCACATAGTTACCCTGTTTCTTGTCCACGTGGCTGAGAGTGGTGTGTAGGACGTGGGCGATGGCATCCTCTGTGGATCTGTTGGATCTGTAGGCGAACTGCAGCGGATCTGTGGTGTCTGGGATGGAGGAGGAGATGATGTTCTTCAGCAGCCTCTCAAACACCTTCATTACTACCGAGGTCAGTGCAACTGGCCGGTAATCGTTCAGGGATGAGGGTTTGCTGTTCTTGGGCACAGGGATGATGGTGGATCTTTTGAAGCATGTGGGGACCACAGACTTCGCCAGGGACTCGTTGAAGATGTAAGTGAACACACCTGCTAGCTGGTCAGCACAGCAGCGCAGCAGACGGCCGGTGATGCCGTCTGGCCCCGCCGCTTTCCTTGTGTTCACTCTCCTCAGTGCCGCTCGGACGTCATGCTCCGCGATGCTGGTCACCGGTCTCTCGCTGATGACGTCACTGTCCTCGGTAGTCAGGCGGTAGATAGCATTAGCCAAAGTCCTCGGCAGAAAGCCTGAACTTCTTGTATTAAAAATGGAACTTGCACAATATATAAGGACAATCTCCTCATCAAAAAACACGAAGGCTCTCAAGACTGTTAACATCTGTAACCGATTGAAACTGCTAACTTGATTTTGGCTCTTGCAAACTTTTGTTTATTTATGTTCCCCTTAATTTATTTTATTTTTTGTACTCACTTTTGTCTCACTGTCTTTGTCACTCTTTCTGTTCCTCATTGTACTACCACAATGTTATCTTTTATGTGATCCCTGTTTTACCTGACTGTATGTCTATAATGTGATAAATAAAGTTAAAAAAAAAAAAAAAAGATAGCATTAGCCGCCTGGCTAACCTCGAAACGGGCGTAGAACTGATTCAGCTCGTTGGTGAATGCAGAGTCAGCGTTGATCAGCGCAGTGTCCCTGGCTTTGTAGTCCGTAATGGTGCGTAGTCTGTGCCACAAACTCCGTGTGTCGCCCTGGTGGAAGTGGGACTCCACACGTTCCCGGTACCGGCGTTTGGCATCTCTCACCGCGCGCTGCACGCCGTATGAGGCCCTTTTTGTAGGCGCTCATATTGCCAGTGGCGAGACCCGCGTTGTAGGATATATGATATATGCATTTTTTTCCTTTTTTTTTTTTGCTCATTCTGTTGGTTTTTGTTTTTTGCCCTTCTCCCCCGTCCCTCTTCTCAGCTGTTTCTCTTTCCCTGCTCATTGTGGCTAACTCTTACGATGTGGAAGTGTCTTACAGTGCTCGCAAGGCAGAGTTGAAGGAAACGCTGGCTGAAAAGCTAGTGGACAAAGGTGTGCTTCTACGACGGGGAGATGATGCGGAAAGCAAGCCAGTGAAAGGCGCAGATGCTTGAAAAGGGCTCAGCTGGTGTTTCCCCAACGTCATCAAGCACAAGTGCTTCTTCTTCTGCTGGTTTTGACATAAGTAAGCACATCAAGTTGGTTCCCCCGTTTCGCGAGTCTGAGGTAGACTCCTATTTTAGTGCATTTGAGCGCATAGCCGCTGCTTTGAAGTGGCCGAAAGAGTTTTGGTCCCTCTTACTCCAATGTAAGCTTGTGGGAAAAGCCCAAGAAGTGTGTTCAAGCCTGTCTATTGAGCAGAGTTTAGATTATGAAACTCTTAAGAAAACTGTGCTGCAGGCGTATGAACTTGTCCCTGAAGCATATCGGCAGAAATTTAGGATTCTTAATAAAACTGCTAACCAGACTTTTGTTGAGTTTGCGCGAGAAAAGAATGTGTTGTTTGAGAAATGGTGTTGTTCATGTAAAGTTAAAACCGTGGAAGAGTTGAAAACTCTTATTTTGCTGGAGGAGTTTAAAAAGTGTTTGCCGGAACGCATCGTGACTTATTTAAACGAACAAAAGGTGTTCTGTGCACAGAATACGTTTCAGGAAAATCTATCTGAACGAAAAAGGTCACCAAGAGCAGTGAGTAAAAACGTATCACAGTATAATTGTAACATTTCACTCTTTGTGTTTGAGGCCATACCATGCAATGGGTAATTGTGCTGCAGAGAAAATAGCTGCACTATTTAATAGCCGAGACATGTAAATACTTTGCATTACATTTTGAATCCACTACCTTAAAAGAGCTCCAATTTACAGACAGAAATGTCAAAAATGTTACAACTATCCCCGGTCTCCCCTACAGGCCATTGTTGATTTTCCTGTCCCGCAGACAAAAAGCTCTGCGTCGTTTTTTAGGAATGGCCGGTTTTTATCGAGGGTTTTGCAGAAATTTTTCTGATGTGGTTAGTCCCCTAACTGATCTTGTTAGCCCCTTAAAGCCTTTTATTTGGTCTCCAGCGTGTCAGGTGGCATTCGAATCTGCCAAAGCATTGTTGTGCAGTGCACCAGTGCTAGCTGCGCCGAATTTTGAGCGCCCTTTTAAACTAGAAGTTGATGCCAGCTCGTGTGGCGCAGGCGCTGTTCTGTTACAGGAAGATGGTCACGGCGTAGATCATCCCGTCTGCTACTTTTCAAAAAAGTTTAACAGACACCAGACCCATTATAGCACCATTGAAAAAGAGGCTCTTGCCTTACTCCTTGCGTTACAGCATTTTGAGGTCTATGTCGGGTCAAGTGTGCTGCCTGTGCAGGTGTTTACCGATCACAACCCACTGGTGTTTCTTTCCCAAATGCGCAACTCCAATCAAAGACTTATGCGCTGGTCCTTGTTATTGCAAGATTTTAACTTGGAGATCAGTTACAAGAAAGGGAAAGATAACGTGTTGGCTGATACCCTGTCTAGAGCACTTTCTCCTTGAATTAAACATTTTGGGGGTAATGTTAATTCTTGGGAAAGGGGGTGTTACGACTGTGACCGTAATTGTGTGTGAATTTGAGTGTCCAGGTGCTCCTCCGGGATTGGTGCATCCAGGGTGGATGGCTCACACCGATTGGCTGAGGACTGGGAGGCAGCGGATAAGAAGAGACCGCCAGGGACTGCCAATTCATTCATCCTCGGCCCAACCCAACCGGCAGACCGTTCACTGTGTCAAAATATTATGTTAATGTAAGAGCATGTAGGGGTGGACCGCCTTTTTGGTTGATCAGTTTTCTCCTGTTTTTGTTAGGCAGGGAGGAAAGTGATTGTCGTTTGGTTTAGTTCTTTTGAGTAGGTAAGTTGTGTTTATTCCTGAGATAGGTTACTTTTTGTTTGTTGTTTTGGCCTTGGGTTCACCCTGAAGTTATGATATGCTCCCTTCTTTATGTGACCCGTGGTAGGTGCCTATTTAAAATAGGACAGAGCCGTAGGCGCACAGTCAGTTTAAAAGAGTTTAATTTTTAATACAAAATAAAAGAAACAGTGTAACAGCAGCACCTAAAAACAATTAAAAACGTTACCTTATTAAAAAACGATAAGACTGTACGATTGCCCGTGAGGCAGGACAAGCGCTGCGGAGAACAGTTTAAAAACAAATCAACATAGCACACAGGTTAAAAATGGACGGCAACTCACACATGACGTCTTCACTCGGGCCCCCCGCTGTGCATGCAAGAGCGGGGAGACAAAAAAAGGATTTGTTTTCCCTGCAGCGCCTTCACCGCCTGCGAATCAATATCTGTGGTGCCTACTGATACAGAAAAAGTAAAACAAAAAAACCAAAACCATCGACAGCCGCAGCAGTCAGTCTGTCGGCTTACACCAGTTTAAAACAAATTAAAACACACTGATGTGTCGGGTCCTTTGCCCGCAGCCAGAAATCCACCTGGCAAAGCAGCAGCTCGGTACTCTGTGAATAAAAGGCAGGAGATCACTAGCTGGACAATAAAACACAGGAATATTCCTCCACTGAATTGGTTTTGTTACCTGTCCACAAGTTCGTGTCACACCCTAATAAATGTGGGTCAGTGGCGATGAAGTCCACTATACCGTTCTCACGGGAGCAATGTTTCCCACCTACAAGGGTGCAAATAACTGTAAACCTCTGCCAACAGCCAGAGCTCAAGTGGTACATTTTTGTGTAACCTACCGTTCTAACAGAAGTTTAGGGGAGGACGCGTATCAGACTTTCATAGTTAAGAAACACCAACTTGCCCAACTCGGACCAAGCACTCGCAGCTTCAGGTTTGCAAAGGAATACCCAATTGCCCACACCTGCGCTTATGAAAGGAGCGAAGACCAGCTCCGCCCACCAGGGGCGGTCCCAAGTCTCCAGGTCTCACCTGTCACATTTAACTACACTTATTGTAAATAAATCACTGTCACAAAATATTAAGTGTGTGACGTGCTGCTTGGGGTTGGACGGGGATGGATCACCCTTTACGTTGTGGTCTGGCCGCGCCTAGACGGGCCATAACATTTCTGAATTTGTGTCAAGTTTGCATGTTTGATTCTATCTTTCAGGGTTACTTCTGGTTTTTTAAAAACGATTTGTTATTTTAATAAAGATTCATTTTAATGAAGATAACATTTTTGCCGCTGTGCTCAGTTTCTCTTTCTGGAAATAATCTGGAGAAAAGCCTTTCTTTTGAGAAAATGTTATTAGGAAGTGATCAGACAAATGAGGGTTTTCAGAAAACACAGTTAAATGTCCGGTTTCTATGCCATATGTCAGATCTAGAGTGTGATTAGAGCAGTGACTGGGTGCTTTTACATTTGAAAGAAGTCAGTTGAGTCCAAAAATACATTAAATGCCATATTTGGGGTTTCTGACAAATTAGTATATCTCAAGGGTTTTGATTCATTTAGACTAACAAAATCATTTTACTGTAACCAGGTTTCTGTAAGGCAGCATACATGAATTTGCTGATCAATTATTAATTTATGTACTTGGGGAGCAGACACAGTCTGTAAGGAATGAGTTTTTGGTGGGAGAACAGGAGGAGAGCGTTAACAGACATGGAGGCTGGCATAGTTGTTGGGTATGACCAAATTGCATACAGAGTAATCATTAGATTCCTGTCCATAACAGCATGGATTCCTATGGAGGGGATCAAACAAGTGCAGTTACTCGTCCGGCTCAACTTTAGAAAGAGGATCTGGCAGTTGATGATAGAGAAACCCGTAGCAAGCTGTGGCTGGCTGTGAAGGAGGCAAGGAATAGAGGAGACAAGGTCTATTACGTGGGGAATGCAGCTTATATCAATGGGAACGAGATCAAAATATGATGATAAGATACTATACCGTGAATTCTCTATTATTCCTTTGATAAGCTGAAAATATTTAATTTACTTAATTTCATAAGGTAACAGACGTTGGTTCTAGTGTAGTGTTCTCGGACAGTAACTGACAAAGTTGTTTATTATTAGAGTTTCATGTTTCTGTTTATTTGTGTTTAGGATTTGTTCTTCGGTTGTGTCTGCTTAGTATAGGTCTAGTTCCATGTGTCATTTTCTGTCTGTCTCTCAGTGTCGAGTCTGCGTCTTAGTGTGATGGTATCTTGTTCCTGTTTTATTGTGAAGGTCTGCGTCTCATGATTTCAGGTTTGCTCTTTAGTTTCTCCCAGTTTAGAATTGTCATTACTCATTTCCTGTTTTTGCCACTGCCACCGTGTGAATAAACTTCACTCGCATCATCAGTTTGCTGCATCTTGGGTCCTCCTTTTCCTCCACACCACACGGCTCCCTCCGCCAGCCGTGACAACAATGATGAATAAAATTCAATTGAAATAAGGCATGAGATCAAACCAGGAACCTTAGGAGAACCTGAGATTAAAGAAAGGTGGGGGATCACAAATATTTCCAAAAATTTCACATTTATAATGAATACTGGCCTGACAAATATCATTGTAGTCAATTTTTTTAATGAAAAATTTAAATTATTCCATGTTTTCAGCCTTTCAAACGTGAGGATTTTCTGCTTCCATTGTTTTGAATAATAGTAGCTTTATTACCTCAATTAGCTTTGGATGGTTGGTTGGACAACAAATAATCTGAATATGTTATCTTCAGCTGGGGGAAACCATGATTGGCATTTTTACAATTTTCTGACATTTTGCTGATGATTCATGGTCAATTAAACGTTTAATTGCACCCCTAAATGATACACTTGACTTAATCATTTAATCAAGTATTTTCTTCTTTCATGATTTAAAATTAGGCCCTTGTAAGAACATGTTTCTGATAACATGTAGTAGAATATACAGTACAGAACATTCAGCATGGACTCCTTTAACAGAAACAGACATTATATATCAGTAATCCATATTCAAATGAAAACGCAGCTCTGAGATGAGGAAAAACTTACAGATAATGTTTGAAACTGTTTTCAAGTCTGAGTTAAGTCAAGTCAATGTTATTCATACACAATCACAAGCTCGCTTAAATGTGAGAATATCAGCAAAGTCCACAGGAAGGAATGTATAAGGAAACTATTCTTAGTCGTTCTTGGAAATAGTTTTACAGCAAAACAAATCAAGCACAACCTTGGAGTTCTGCTGTGGCACAGTGAAATGCTTCCTCACTGCATGGGTGTTGGAATGAACATGACATGAACACCAAAGAAGGAAAATTATGATAAAGAGTGCGGACAGGTCCATCATGGTTAGTTAAAGTAACACAGGCTCAAATTGAATTTGTTTTGACTCCTCCTGCCAAGAAAATCACTAATTCAGGGAGGATGGCTAAACTCTGGCTAATGAAACAAGTGTGAGTCCATGTGCCTTTGGTTTATAAGCACAGTTCTGTTTTTTATCGTGGCTCAAGAGTTGGGCGTTCGTCTTGTAATCGGAAGGTTGCCTTTTCGAGCCCCGACTCCAACAGTCTCGGTCGTTGTGTCCTTGGGCAAGACACTTCACCCGTTGCCTACTGGTGGTGGTGCTGGCGCCAGTGTCCGGCAGCCTCGCCTCTGTCAGTGCGCCCCAGTACGGCTGTGGCTACAACGTAGCTTGCCATCACCAGTGAGTGAATGGGTGGATGATTGGGTATAGTGTAAAGCGCTTTGGGGTCCTTAGGACCAAGTAAAGCGCTATACAAATACAGACCATTTAATGCGGCAGTGTGAAAGTGAATGACTCAAATCTGAAAAAAAAAAGTTTTTTCCAAAACAGAAAACAAAAGTGTAATCACACACAAACAGGATCAAAGTCCCGTGGCGAACTGCACCAACGAATAACCTGCATTCAGCTGCCAAGACGGAGATGTAGCCCTGCTTTGACATTTGAGAAGAAACAAAGCCAAAATACTGTATGCATGACTGACAGGATGTTGGGGATTTGCCCTTTGTGAGAGCTTCTCTTATTGGCTCGATGATTTTCAAAGAGGTTAGAGAATGTCAAGCAAGGAAGCTATAGTAGGCTCTGGCACTGCTCGAGAATAACACCAACTTGTGCTACAGACTTATCAAAGCGTTGTTTTTATTAGTTGAAAAGAAAGTTGAACGCTGTAGCTAAAATGAATAAAAGATCAAATACGTGATTGTATCTGGTCGGGTGATTATATCCAGCCTTAACTGCACTGTTATATTGCACAATGATCCAAAATATTGAATGTGAAATGTCACCAAGACTAACGACTCCATTTCCAGTTAACTGTGAACATTTTCTGGTCATGATGGATGTGTTTATAGTGTGGCAAATGACCTTGACAACAGATGGTGATTATACTTTCACTATTTTTTCCCCCTTTTCTCTGTAGCCTTCTCGCAGGCCAGCAACACAAAGCAATTAACGGAAATACACAGCGAGCTTCAGAGAGATAGCGCCATGTTAAATACTTGACAAAAGAATTAAAGTCTTCAGTGTTTCATAGAGTTAGCCAGAAATAAATTCACCTGTCTTCACATGTTTATATGCACTGCTGGGTTTAAACAAAAGAGTTTAGGTTCTCATTGCAAAATCACCAGCCAGCCTAGCAACCAAAGCTTTTTGCTAATGTCATCTTCTTTTTTTTACAGATTGGACCAACATGACTGGGGGATAGGACAGGGAGAAAGAATGAAAGAAAGAGAGGGAGACGAAGAAAAATAGAGGGGAGAAGAGATGGTGAGAAAGGGGGGAAGAAAAAAAAGAAAAACAAACAAAACACCAGGATCACCTGTATGGAGATAACAAAACAGAAGAGAGAGAGAAAAAAAAGAGCAACATAATAAACACAACACCATCACAATAAACTAGCTAACAGTGGATAACAGTAGATACTAAATATTAAATGTTATTTTGCAGCACGCAAGATTGACAGAGCCCAATGTGCTTTGAGGTAGCAGCCAAGAAAGGTGTGTGCAGGAGGAGATCCAGGCACCAGACATCCAGAGGCCCCAGAATACAAGGACCCAAGGAGGACCACCAAAGGGGCAACTGTGCCACCCTCCTGGGAAGAGCTGAGGAAAGCCCCAAACGAGTGGTCACCCAGCAACCACGGAGCAGAGGCCAGAGGGGGTTGCAGTGACGTGCCCGCGGGCTCTGCCGGCAGCCAGCTGTGCCCAGGGACCAGGCCCAGGGGCCAGAGGCCTGAGGGCACCCCACCCCCCGGAAGCTATTTATTTAGCTTTATTTATTTAAAGCTAAATAAATAAAAGCTCTAAAACATAGTAGAAACACCTTTGTGGAGCCTGAAATGAAGTTAGGTGGCGGTGGTTCTGATGGCTGGCAAAATAACACAATGGCTGAGAATTAAGAGCTGAAAACTTTGTTTAAACTGTTTCTTTGTAAATATGCATAAATATTTACATATTTAAATATTTATATATTCATAAATATCGAATCAGCCAATCAAAAGCTAGCTAGCTACATACATTGCCAAAATTGCTAGCCAATATGATGTTATCCCATTTTAATGCCTCGACTGTTGTATTTTAGACATTGCTATATTTATTTTTGGGACCGAGAATTAACCGTAGTTGGACCAGACACTGGAGTGCTAATTTGTAAGGAAATGCTACCAGATGTGTGGGCAACATAGTCCATGAAAAACAAAGCCAACGCAGAGGTGCTTTAAAACAGCATTCTTTATGAAGACCATCAGATGGCTGGTGGTTGGAATTGATTTTCAGTCCTATGGAAAATGTCCTGACCTCTGTCAACACTGTCATGATGAGTCAGTCATTCATTTTGACTATTATATGATATAATATGATAATAATATAATAATTATAATAATGATATTAGTCAATAATGTCGCAAGTGGTTTTACAGTTAACCCTGCCCTTTCTCATCACATCTGTTTTTAACCAAGATAGTCTCCAGACTTCAAAATGGAACACATCGATCTCATGAAGATAGGTATAGCCA